ATATATATATATATATATATATATTTGAACATCAATAATTGAAAGGCTTCCCAGAAGAATATTGCAATCATTTTAAAAATTTTATTGGAAATAAAACAAACAAGTATGATGCAAAAGTAGATTTTTTTTATTAAAACATTACATATAAATGATTACAATGTCTTTCCTGGAAGCTCTTCAGTTATCAGCATGTCTAAATGTGCTCTTCCAACGAATGATATAATACCTGATTATAATAAGCTTCATATATTGCAGTATGGCATCCAGCCACCTGTAAAAACAGCAAACTCAAATGTATTTTTTATTTTTACCTGCAAATCTTAACGATCAATATAAATAACAAATATTCAATTGTTTGTCATAAATTGCCAATATAATGTTTAACAAGTAGGTATTTGTCACATGAATAATATAAATAACATATAACAAGCGATGATATATAAAAACGCTTATTATCAAAACTTATTCATACCAGATAAACAAAATGAAATTAAAAAAAAGTCTGATTCGCGCGTTTCTGGAACAGCACATTAATCAAACAACAAAGGCTTCCTCCCCGATGAATAAAAATTTATCAATCAAAATAGGTATAGATAAAATGATATTCCGCCATCGAAGAGGACGTTTCGACCTAGACCGCCCGAGATAGATAAGATATCGCAACGAAGATGCATAAATACTACGACAATTTAGTACAAATCATGGCGAAACTTTACGAAAGAAGTTCTCACAACGGGCGCGAGTCATATTAAACATTATATTCTCGTAAAATCGTGAAAATCGTTCCGTACCTGCGTAGGTGACGGCAAAGCGGCCATACTTGCGTTAAGCACTGGCTTAACCAATCAGACACTCAATCAATACTGTACGATTTTTAACAATTTCGTTTAATATTTCGCGGGGATATCGCTTTTAATTATTGAATATTCCAGCGAATTTTATTATTAGGTTTCATCGTCTATTATTTCTTGTAAATTCAAAATCAAGGAATACACGACAGAAACAATTTATTTAAGAATTTAAGAAATCACCAATTTATCAGACATCTATCAAAATCACTTCTATCGTTTATTCAAAATCGATTGCACTAAACATTCATATTAAGTTTATTCGCATTGTTTGCACTTTTTTAATTCAGCAATTAGCATCTTCGCTTTTTCCACAGATCTCTATATATTGTCAGAGAGAAACCTGAAGAACTTGAGAAAGGACATAACAACCTTTTGCCTGTTGCCGCAAAATGTCCTAGCTCTAGAGTAAAGAATAAGGGCGCGTTCACACCTTGACAGAAAAGCAGAAAGCGGAAAAGCAGCAACCAATCAAGAGCCACTGGGCTGCGTTCGGATTCCCACCTGGGGCGCGATTCCGTAACTGTTTTACGGTGCAATTACATGAATTACCGCGATACGCGGTACGCGATACAGTAACTAAAGCTCATTCTACAATGGACAGTAGCAGTAGTGAATTAAAGAATAGACGTAGAAATCGACTAATCATAGTTGTCCTTCTCACATTTGATTATGATTGGTTGATTTCTACATAGGCCTCCATAGGTCTCGCTACAAATGCTTTGAAGCATTTAATGGATCAATTAGAAGAAAGAATTTTACAAACTGATCAATTAAAAAACTTCAAAATGTTTGTAGCATCGCGTTGACCCTTAATCCAACTGTTACTGCCTTTTGAATAAGAATAGGAATATATTAATACATGACCATCTACAAAGAGCAGTAGCAGTAGATTAAGAAGTAAGTAGAAATTGACCAATAATAGTTGATGTGAAAAAAATAATCAACTGATTGGTCGATTTCTACGTCTACTCCTTAATCAATTACTGTTATTGTTCATTGTAAACCATGTATAATAGTAACTAACTAGGTAATTAGGAAACCGTATATCATGTACCGTCTATTTCTTTCACTGATATTACATGGAGCACGGTTTGCGTGCATTTTGCGGCACGGGCTATGATTGGTTGATTTCTACGCCTACTCCTTGATCCACTATAGCTACTACCCATTGTAGAATGGACTTAATGCAATTATAGACTACGCATTACAGTTACAATATAGACGACTGAATCGAGCAATGCGATTGGTGGAAAACTTATGTTACATTTACGGTAAGCGGGAAACATAATAATAACACAACTCTTGCATAATACATAAGAAAATGTACCAATCAACGTTTTATGTTTCTTTCCTTATCATGAAATAAAGAACTTAGATGGTTAAATTTCTTATGCATTAAGCTGGTTCTACATTAATTGATCGCAAGTTTGTTGATTTTAAAATGCAAGCTCCAGATTGGCTGTAGCAACAAACTTGCGATTGGTTTGCAACTAAAATCGGTTTTACGTGTTATGCATTATGCAAGAGTCTATATTCCCCGCTTTATTGTTACGGAAAGTATGTGTGACTAGCTTTACTACTTCAACGGTGTCACTAATCTGTACAAATTAAAATCTTGTATTGTCTAGGGGTTTTTGTTAGTACTAACATTTTTCAGTCTAATTTTTCAGGAAAATCATGTAACCGAATATTGGCTGCTTTCTTTTTAGGAGACAGAGTCGACATACTTGACATAAATCGACACACGTCGCTTTCCATTTACAATTTTGTTCAAAACTCAGTTCAAGACTCAGTCGACACACTTCGCCTCTGCTCGGGAAAAGAGTCAGAGCGTGTTTCGAGTCTGTTCAAGTGTGATTTTGACGAATTAAATGATATTAGATTAAATGTACTTGCAAACCAATCCATCATTTTGTTCTGTTTTCAATACAGAATTACTTGTGTCGACGAATGTTAATAAAAAATTACAATGGCAA